TTCCTCCCTCCCTCCCTTCCTCCCTCCCTTCCTTCCTCTCTTTGTTTTGTCTATGCACTATACATATGTATCGCGTACAGCAGAAACCATAAACCACATTTCAGTGTTATTAAAAAAAAAAACTACATATGAGTAATATGAAGAGGTTGCTGAACCCCAGAGCACTTTTTGAGAGTTTAGTAGCTGCATTTAGCACTGTTCCTGGTGTAGCTATCCTATGAACCAGGTGGCATCAGCACAATTAAAGGATGATCCTGGATAACGTATCAGAGAACATCAGAAACATTCACAAGCCAAGTGATTTTGTCGTAATCCTACCAAATGATAAAAGGTCTGAACAAAAACCTTGGAGTAAAAAAAAGGAGGCGGGGGGCTCAAATTCTAGTCACTCTATTTTGCTAGCTGTGATGTTAAGTAGGAACTCAAGGAGCCAACATGTGTTTTCACCTGTCTTTTCTTTACATCTGTAAAATGAGGACAATAAGACCAGTCCTCTCTCCCTCAGAGGATTGTCACGAAGGTCAAATAAGATAATGAATGTGGAAGCACTTTATGAACATACATCCCCATGTAAATGTAATACATTGCTCTCAATGTCATTCTTTTCTAAATTGGACTTCTATTTTTAAAATAGGAGATATTGTAATGGAGACATAGTCTACATTGAATTGCATTATGAGAATATAAGGTGAATGTTTGGTGTTAAATATAAAAAAATAAGCCCTGGCCAGTGTGTCTCAATTGGTTGAGTATCATCCCAGGCACCAAAAGGTCACAGGTTCGATTTCCACTCAGGGCATACGCCCAGGTTTTGGGCCCAGTTTCCAGTGGGGGCCTGCAAGAGGCAGGTAATGGATGTTTCACTCTAACATCAATGTTTCTCTCTCCCTCTCCCTTCCTTTCTCTCTCGAATCAATTATACACACACACACACACACTCACACTAGAGGCCTGGTGCACGAATTTGTGCACAAGTGGGGTCCGGCCGGCCCACCCCGATTGGGGCCAATTGGGCTGGCCAGGGGGAGGGGCTACAAGCAGTTGGCAGGCCAGCCCCACCCCTGATTGGGGGCGGGGTGACTGGGGAGGGGCTGGCCAGGGGGGAAGGACTGTGGTGGTTGGTGGGCCAGTCCCACCCCCTGGTCAAACTCTGGGTAGAACTCCTGGTCGAGGGGACAATTTACATATTA